AACCTGCCACCTTAGGTGTATGTGGCTGGTGCCTTAGCCGCTTGAGCCACAGGCGCCAAGCCTTTACTTTTTCCTTTTTAAAAAAAAATAGATTTTATATGTTCCCTCCAAAAACAAACTATAGGAATTTGAGATCATGGATCTATAATAGTTTGCTTTAATCATTCCACAATGGATACAAGAAACATCACATCGTACTCCATAAACAGATACTATTTTTCAATTAAAACTAAAATAAAAATGTATCACAAGCTGTGCTTCCTGTTCTTAAATATTTTTTTGTCTCAAAAAAAAAATTTACAGAAACCAAAGGCTGCCTGTCTTTCTCCTGTAGCTGAGACTCTCCTGGAGTCGTTCTTCCCTGAGGGCCAGAGCCTAGAGGTTTATCCCTCTGTTTCTTCCCAGCACTGGGTTGTTCCCGCTGCGTCCTGGGCAGGGACATGGTCTGTGACAGGCTGGTCTCTAAGGAAAGCAAGGCCCATGGCAAAGAGCTCTCGCACCCCCTGGCCTGGTGATCTCATGTTAGTTGCCTGGAGCTGCGGTAACAATATACCGCAAGCAGTAGACCTGGGTCAGTCTGAGATCAAGGTGTGAGCAGGGTTGGTCTACTCTGAGGCCCTGACAGAGCATCAGACACAGAGCCTCCTCTGGTTCTGGGGGCTGATGACCATCCTTGGCCTCATGGCTGGTAGACAGATCATTCCATCTCTGCCCCATCTTCACACAATGATCTCTGTCCAAATTTCCTTTTTCTAGAATTTAACTATGGTAGACCTTCTATAATTTACAGGAGAGATAAACTTTGACAAAGCACATAATACAGCAGAACCTCTGTGAGTTGACCACCCAAGGTACTGTCACAAACTGGTCAACAAAAGGAACTAGGCCAACTGTACTGATACGTATATGAGGTGCATGTCCAGTCTATGAAATTAGGTCAACTTAAGGAGGTGGTCAACTGTAGAGGTTCTGCTGTAATTCATAATTGCCCTGAGGCCCAAATTTGAATCCTATTTCCCATAAGTCTGGTATGCAGGACTGAGTCAGACAGTGAAAAGCAGTAGAAAGAAAGTTAGGTGTGGTGTGCGGGTGCTGGGGCCAGAGAAGCTTGAGGTTTGAGTCCTTGGCCTGCCACATACTAGCTGTGTGACACTGGGCATGTTAGCTTAACCTCTCTGAACCTCTGCATCTCCACTGTAACAGAAAGACAGTAATAACAGAGTATTGACATGAAGATGGGATGAAGTAATGCCTACAAAGAACAGAGGCCTCATAGAGTATGATCTATCATTATTAATAACTATTATATTTTAACTATGGCATTTACGATACTGAAGGCGTCTAGCTGGCAGCTTCATACTAGTCTCCAACCTGCTTTGCTGTTCTTTCTTTTCTTTCCTCCTGTACTATTAGGGAAATTATATGTTATTGTCTTTTCCTAAATATGGAGTTGACAAAGTTCTGGGACACTGTTTTCTGGGCTATCGGGGACCTACAGTATAGATCATAACTCCTAAGTAGCATGAAGTATGATAAAAACTGTGGATGTATTGGCATTGAATTATATTTCTCACGATCTTGAATATGTTAGAGTGCTTCTGACTTTGGACATGTCTTCTGTTAAAAAAGAAGAATGCCTATCCATTTGTCCTTGTGCATTTTAAGAGGATAAAATTAATAATATGTGAACGCCACATAAAAGTAAAGGTATTGTGTTCTAGCATTGCTCTGTGTTGCTATGGCAACCACGACGGATTGCCTGCCCAGGTTTTTTTCATGGTGATAATGTCCTTAGCCTCTTTTGCAGATGGGTGGCCATGTAACACAATAACGTCCAATGAGGTGCAAGCAGAAATTCCTGGATGAGGCATCCCAGAAAGCTCTTTAAAAAGGGAGTCTCAGTTGACACACTATATTTTTTCCTTCTTGCCTGGTTATATCTACCTGGAACTTGGACGTGATGCTGGAGTGAGCAGCCATCTTGAAGTCACGAGGGGACAATCTTGAAGATGAAAGCTAAGCAGATAAACAGAAGGAGGCTTAATTCCTGGTGGCATCCTGGCAACATCATGGTCTGGGCTTCCTACTCCCAGACTTTGTGTTACATGAAAAAAAATAAAACTTCTACCTGGTTAAACCGATATAACTTGAATTTTCCATTACTTACCATTGGATGGCATTACCTGCCTAATTATAAAATACAATGCCTTGGGGATAAAATCCCACCCTCAAATGGACTGGATTGCTCCTTAGCTTCCTTACCAATAAACAACGCTGGCCCTAATCCTCACCCCATGCTCTTCCTGGCTGTCTGATTTATTCCTAAATGTCACCTAAGACATGCCCTATCACCTCCTGTTCTCCTGTTTCTTT